AAGTTTAAACTGCATAATACATGTAATGTATATCGTCATTGCTGGTTTAATATCGTATTCATGGCGTCTGACTTACATTATTACAAGAATCAGACTAGTGAAGAGAGCTAAAAATTCAAATTTTTCTTTCTTGAATTATTGTGTCGCTGATTCCTTTCTTGTCAACCCATTATTTTGGACATGGGTCACAGCTCTCTTGTTACATATTGGCTTATTTATTTTGGTATTTTCAGCTAAATCATTATTCATTGGCACAATCAATTACACTTGGGAAATGTGGATGTGAATTTTTTAAATGCCTTTTCACCAAATTGTTTCACGTTAATCGACTCAAAACTTCATGTATAAATATACAATCGGTTGTAATCAAATCAATACCATAGTTGAGGATAGTTAAAAATCAAATGAGACAAGAATTGGAAACGAAATCGATAAACGTGGTCATTCATCTCAGTATACATCTTCCAAATTTGCAGCAAAAATGTTTGCTTTCAACGTCACCCACGTTTCAAGGTTTCGCGGAAGTTTTAAAATGACATCGTCCCCGTGCAATTTTTTATTTGAGATTTTTTTACTGAATTTCGGATTGACTTTGAGCAGTTTTTTTTATTTTTAGAGTATATTTCAATGAAAAAAAAAGCACTGTGTTAGTTTCCATATTCACGGCTGAGCGCGTTCCCTCGAAATCCTGGGCTACTACTGATGGAATACGTATATAGTGTACCACGAATAGCCGAAGGTGTCTATTTCCGTCCCAATATTGAGAACTCAACATGCATTTTTCGTTTTAAAAATCGTCAGGAATTCGAAAATGCACTATTCAGCTGTCAATCCCTTGGTTCATCGAGCAGAACTGTTCGAAATTTAAGAAGAATTCACTATTCAGTATCTGTATACAGCACTCTTCGAATTGATTTCACGTATTTCAGAATCATCAAAGCGTGATCACTCGAAAATTAGGTTCAAGGCTGTGGTAAAGCTTTCGATCCTTTCATGCAATCAAATCTAAGAAAAAGGGAGACATAATTACTGATTGTGGTCTCGAAATACGTGCTTTCCTGCGCGATTTTCTCAAGTAAATTCTGGAAAAAAATTCAAATGATGGATTTAATTTAAATTGTTAATGCCAGACTGCGGTGCAATCATTTGAAGTCACTAAAACTCGTCGACGAAGAAGTAGCATTAGATTGCAGAAGGGTACGAAGTATAGCTTCTTTTCATACAATGAATTACCTTCAAGGGAAAAAAACACGAAAAAATATCTTTACTCAAGTCACGTAAGTTTTATGTAAATTTGCATTCAGTACTCCTTTTTTGTGTGTAAGGAATTCTGAGTACCACATACAACAATAAATGGCCTCACAAGCCACCGGTGGGCTGTTTGTATACGAATCACCCATTCGAAAACCCGTGTTTCGCTGTATTTGGCCCGAACAAACGGGCTATTGTGCTGAATTCTCAGCTTCGTTCAATATCGTTGATCATCTGGAGCGATTCGAGATGGAAAAAATAATAATAGCGCGTTGCCACCCAGCAGTCGACAGGGACTCACCGCCAGGAAATTGACGGAATAGTCAGCGACGCGTGTGACGTTGAGGAAAGCTGTGAAGACGTCTCTGACTCTCGAGTCCCCGAGGAACATGAAACTTTGACTCAAGCCGCGTTCTTGTCGGAGTGAAAAGCACTGTCTCACGTCCTCTGACATGTACTGGTGAATTTCGCAGTGTTGCGGAGACAGAATCGGCGCCTTGTAACCGCCATTGTCGCCCATTCTCACGAAGAAGGCCTGCTCGTCTGCCGAAAGCGCGTCTGCCACTGTTTCGGTCTTGGCAATAATATGCAAAAACGGGAAATGGTCGTAATCAGGGGTAACTTTTGCATAAGAAAAAAATGATATTAATGGACCAAAACCGCAATTACGACCTGACTGTTCAGCAACTTTAGTATCATGTGACACACGAACGTTGGCTTCTTTCTTCGCCCTGCTTTGTGGAACATACAGTACCTTCTACAAGCATCTTAAAATCAGAACCTTAAATTTCGCAACTTTTGACGCATGGAATTACAGGTGGACTCTCTCTCTAAAAAAAAGTTTCGAAGGAATATAACTTTTTATAGAGAACCCGGAGGACTCCCATGATTTGTGTCCCATTCCTATGAGACCACAAGAATCGTTATACATAGAAAACCATTCTAGAGGGAGTCCACTTGTATAATTCTCACAATTATTTAGCATGGAGTTTTTAAGTGCAAACTATTGCATGATTTAAAAGTACAGTATGAGAACCAATGTTTCTTTTTAATTCACAATTATGCTTTCCAGCATTGCAAATTCTTAAAATATTTTACTTTGAGTAATTGTTTTCGCTAGTTCGGCTTTGACTTTCTTGCACAGATTTGTCAGATATTAATTCGCTTCTTGTTGTTTCTTTTCCTCCAGGAATATTATTCCTCTGAATTTAAATATGTAGTTCCTGTTACCAAGAAAATAAACCCCATGTACAGTAATTTGAAATGAAAATAAGTCGCTGACTGGGATCCTATCGGTGCTACTATGAGCTGCGTCATTTTGGCTATCGACCCTTAAAAAAATCAGATAAACCCCGGATTTGGCATGCGTCATTATGCAATGTGATTATTCAATCACGGGAATTAAAGCCCCTTCTAGAATGCTATTGCGTGTGTTATTTAAACTCTGAGCTGGGTCATTTTGCTTATCGAAGCTCAAAAATAAAATAAAATAAACTCCAGATTTGGCATGCCATTGCCACCTGTAACAAAATGAGATAGTCGCATGTCTCACTTGGTTTCCATTATTCGGCATTATTGTTTCCGGGCGAGCTCCGTGCCAAAAATAGGCGTCGAAGTTGGCAGAAGAGAGAACGGAAGTCGGACACTTTGATGATGACAGGATGCACTCGCATGAATCTTCTCTCGCAAAAGAATGCTCTTTTTTCGCATTTCCGATTCTTTCTGCATCACTCGGTGCCGTGCGATCTTCGATCCGATCGATTTTATCCACTTGCTCGCCGGGATCGACCAAAGTCGTGATGATTGACTCGTCCGAAACGAATTCTCGCAAATTTATTGATGGGTCGTGATTTATTGTCGCGGCTGAGAATTTCCGGAGCCAGTTGCTGTTGTCAAGAATTATTCCAAAAGTGGAAATAAACAAGAGTAATAGGACCGCGGCTCTGTATTTGTTTGGGACCAGGCTTTGGAGGGGTTTCAAGCAGAGCATGTTATGCTGATTTTCTCCGAAATAGGTCATTTTACTCGCTTTCCTCCTCAGCCTGACAGTTTTCATATTTTTGGCACACAAAAAGAAAATGAAATCTGAAACATTGATGGAGCAAAATACAGTATATGGTGGTCAATCCGAAGATAAGCGTATACTCTTTTGAAATCGAGACAAGTTCCTCATGAAAAACGTGGAATTGAAGCTGGGATTACAGAAATTCGCTAGACTCTCCGCTTAATTTTTGTGCGAATTGAATCTGAAGCAATTTCATGCTTGCTGAGCTTGCTTGTCAATTTTCTTCAAGATCTAAACAATCGGTGATTTGCCAAACCGTTTTACGTGCGATCAAATATTTCTTTCTTTTTTAAAGTTTAAACTACATAATACATGTAATGTATATCGTCATTGCTGGTTTAATACAGTATTTATAGTGTCTGACTTACATTATTACAAGAATCAGACTAGTGAAGAGAGCTAAAAATTAGAATTTTCTTTCTTGAATTATTGTGTCGATGATTTCTTTCTTGTCAACCCATTATTTCGGGCATGGGTTACAGCTCTACATATTGGCTCATTTATTTTTGGAAATATTTCAACTATATAAACTGTTAAAGTTTTAGATGCATTTTTTCCACTCTAGATATATATTTTCAGCTAAATCAGTATTCATTGGCACAATCAATTAAATTTGGGAAATGTGGATATGAATTTTGCAAATGCCTTTTCACGAAATTTTTCACGTTAATCGACTCAAAACTTCTTGTAAAAATATATAATCGGTTGCAATAAAATCAATACTATTGTTAGGGATAATTAAAAATCAAATGAGACAAGAATTGGAAACGACACCGATATAAACGTAGTCATTCTTCGTCAGTACACAGCATCTTTCAAATTGGCAGCAAAAATGTTTGCTTTCAACGTCACCCACGTTTCAAGGTTTCGCGGAAGTTTTAGAATGGGCACATCGTCCCCGTGCAATTATTTTTTTTATTTGAGATTTTTTTTTATTGAATTTTGGATTGAATTTGAGCTGTGTTTTATTTTTAGAGGAGTATATTTCAATGGAAAAAAGCACTGTGTTAGTTTCCATATTCACGGCTGAGCGCGTTCCCTCGAAATCCTGGGCTACTACTGATGGAATACGTATATAGTGTACCACGAATAGCCGAAGGTGTCTATTTCCGTCCCAATAAACGTGGAGGTCGGTACACACACAAACAATTACCGTGTCATCGACAAAGGGACAGTCATTATCTCTTCTGTGCGCTTTTGGACCTTTTTTGTNAAAAAAGCACTGTGTTAGTTTCCATATTCACGGCTGAGCGCGTTCCCTCGAAATCCTGGGCTACTACTGATGGAATACGTATATAGTGTACCACGAATAGCCGAAGGTGTCTATTTCCGTCCCAATAAACGTGGAGGTCGGTACACACACAAACAATTACCGTGTCATCGACAAAGGGACAGTCATTATCTCTTCTGTGCGCTTTTGGACCTTTTTTGTTTGTAGCTGTCCCGAAGCCGTGTTTTGTCAGATTGCCCTGACAACAAGGCGCGTAATCGACCCAGACACATTTTGTGGATCAGCACGATGCTTCCTTTTTTCCCCTCTATTTTGGTGTTCTCTTGAGGCCAGAAGATTTTCGGCATTATGTTGTGACGGATAGGAAGATCCGACAATACTCCTTTGCAGGGTTTCTTGGGCTGTAGAGTGGCAGGAAGCGGGCTTGACCCAGGCGGATTCCCACGTCGATCAATGCTTCCTGCTGGTTCTCCCGGGGTTATTCGCAGCTATTTATTGTCGAAAAATGAATTGTACTGAAGAAACTTTCTAATTTGTAAGGTGGTCTTTTATGCTTTTATTTTCAACCGAATATATGAAAATGACCGCGCGATGAACCGCTTTTTATTGTACTAAATAGCTTCATGAGTTTTACATGAAATTACCCGAGTAATCGTGAGGAGCGGCACTGCGGATATTTATTTTATTTCAAATGTGAAGGTTTGCCTTCATGGTTACGAAAATGTGTAAACGACGTATTAATGGTTCTTGAGTTTTGAAAAAAAAGGAGAGGGGTTAATTAAATATCTTTATGAGATACTCTATAATTTCAGCACATGTTGATCCTGATGCATTGTTCGCGTCGAATAACATCATTTTTTCCTCCTCAAATATCCGGATGTTTTTGCTTCGCCTGCTTTTATTTAAAATAATTTTTAACAATTTATCCCCGTCAGAAAATTCGCTGGAATCAACATGAGTAAAACTTTTCCTGAACAACAACCTCTGATAATTTAGTACAGTATTCATCCAATCTTTTAAAGGGTTAGCTGTAATATTCTTCCGAAATTTTGCTCTCATGCACGGTACTTGAGCAAAACTTTTCCTGAACAACAATCTTTAATAATATAGAACAGTATTCATGTAATCTTTTAAAGGGTTAGCTATAATATTCGTCCGATTTTTTTTTCATGCACGGTACTGGGTGGAAGGTATTTTTTCTTCGAGTTATAAAAAGTTGAGTTTTAGAAAATCGCTTTCTTCAACTTGTGTTCAAAAATTTGCTGACTAAAATATGAAATCATTCCATGCGAAAAGTAAAATATTCTATTTTTTTAAATGGGGAAAATTCCGAAAGATCGTCAAGATGACTTCATTTCTCCTCGCAATGACGATGATCGTAGCCTATCGTTATTTAAATTCCACAGCAGAAGGAAATCATTCAAATGTCATGCTCTTCACAGGAGCCCGTGATCATCTTATTTTCTGCATTCTGGAAAATCCTGTTCCTCTGTTGAAAAAATAAGTGATGATAATAATGAAATAAAAAATATTAAAAAATAACTGTTATTGATATTTTTGTGTGTGTGTGTTTTTTTTAAATTCGATTTCGCAGGTGAGGCGCCAGTACAGAAGGTTGTTTTGTCCCGGATCCCGCGACAGATCGTCTGCGTCCCACGGAGAAGACGAGTCCATGTGTTGTCTGCGATGGTGCTGCAAAAAGCGGTCTTCGCCGGGGTCTTGTTCCGCAGAACTCAGCTGTGACAAGGACTCCGAGCCACGTTGCATTGCTGGCTTTGGCAATGCTTACTCTGGCGTGGAGTTTCGCCTCCACCAGCCGAACGCCAACGTGAGTATAATATTGCGTTATGCACACAAATACAGTATATACAGTATTTTATTTACAGTATATTATTCGGTGTGTGCAGTATTGTATACACTGCATAAAAAAAAAAGAAATCACGAAGCGTCATCTTTAATTCGGGGCAGTTTTTGGATGCGTATAGTGCATTATTTCTCGCGATGAACTCAATATTCGATGAGAACATTCTCGAAGTCAATTTAATCACTTCAAGCGAACAAAGCGGCAATTCGGGATATTCAGATTAGCAAATAATCCCAATAACGGATTATTGTCTACTGGTTCATTTTCCTTGAATTTGAAGAATAACAATTTCTGAAATCTATTTCTGTAGATTGCGTTCGTTTTTGGATGAAAATCTGAAAAATGTATCCAACTCGCGGCGAAGAAGATGTCGAAAAGGGTTGAAAAACTAATTTAATCAAGAAAAGTTTCATAATCGACTGGGGATGTGCTTTTTATAGCTTCGGGGAAATTCTGGCACCCCTTTGTATTTTTTAAAAATTCGCTGTAAAGTTTCTGAATGATGCCTTTGAACTCCATGCCATCGAACTTTAAGAAGTGGCGTCGAAGGATTTCATGCATCAGACGAACAAATATCACAAGAAAACCCTCATCGGTCCATTTGTGGAATAAAGTCACGCTAACATTTTCCCGGAAACAGTTCGGTACATCGTAAGCTCAGAAATAACCCGGGGAAATCCTCCGAGTGTCGGGTAATATTACTCGACTTATATTTTCGATGTACTCGTGGTGTTATCAGAAGTTCATCGAAAGGATTGCCTTTTGCTGGGATGAACTCGAATAATGCCTTCAGTACTGCAGGGTACATTGCTCTCGTCCCACTATTTACTTTGAGATATCGATATCTTGACACCTCGCTGGACACAGATAGATTATTTGGAAGAGGATTCATGGGATTGACTTTGCCGCTTGACCCCGTGTGGGCATGTTGCGAGTTATCACGCGTTTCATTTCTTTTCCTACAGACCACTTCGTCAGAAGCTGACTTCGGTGGTGTTTTCTTGAATAATTTTTTGTGTGGTCCTGATTGAATAAAAGACGCCATCGATTGTAGGACGCGCCTTTATATCGTGTGTGCCTCAACGGTTTAAAGAAAATTTTGCCTGCGAATATGAGATACGCTTCCATGGCATTCCATTCCTATACCGGAATAAATGAGTTTGTGGCTTCTCATCATTCATGCTTCACTTACACTGGTGTAACTTCATCATCAGACTTCACGAGCATGTACACTTTATTTAGGAAACGTCACGAATACGTTCATTTCATTTTGTTTTTACGTATTATAGTTGCATACGAGATTGCGTTTACCAGAGGCAATCGTGTACGATTGCATCGGAAATAAGATATTGCATATAAAACGAACCTTGATCTATTTTTCGTTGACCAATTTTCCTGAAAATATAAGTCGCATTCAGATTCTGTGACCGATTTTCTCGCGATACACATAGAGCGAGCATCCCGATTTTCCCACAAATTTTCAAGAAAACATAAAAAGCACCCTGAGTTGAGCCCAGGATTAGAGAAAATATAGCGCACCCTGATTTTGCCGACATAATGTTTATGTTATTCACTGTGTAATTTAATTTTCTGTCATCCCATTTTCCAAAAATGCAACCTGATTTCTGAATACAAATTTTTCTGAAATGTTAGCACAATATGATAGTTTTGAACTGCAGTAGTGGGCATTCGTAGAAGATAACCCGCCCTAGTTATTTCAAAGAAGTTTTCTAGCACATGAGACACATACGAAATTTTAAAATTCCACAGTTTAAAAATGAAAAACAAGATTTATGCTGATACTCCATTTAAAACCCAATATTCGTAGCTTTAATACGCATTTTACAGTTGAGCCTACATAAGTCAAACCTCCCTACGTCAATATCTTCCTAAGTTGAATTTTGAAGTACCCTGTCTAAATTCCCTTGATATCAATGCATCAAGAACCTCTCCAACTCAAAGGGTTTCCTCCTCAAACCTCCATAAACTAAAATTTATGTGCGGTATTTTGTTTTATTTCAGTTTGACTGAAGGTCACTGAAATGCACTCAGGTTGGGAAGGCCTAAATCAGTAAAAATCCGGGAAGGGTGAATCAATTTGTATTCCAAAATCTCCAATGCTAATGCAAGGAATTTCTGGAAAAAAGCCATCCAATGAGGAATTATTTTTTCTGAGACAAATTTTTCAGCAGGATTATAAAAAAATATTGGACTTTTTCCCCACTTAGGCCTTTGTGCAAAAATCAATCTCAATTTTTTAATTGTCAGTGCTCAAAATTTCTAAAAAAAAATATCCCGACTTTGCCGCACACGAGGTATAATAAAGCTGCTCATGGGTGGGCAGGTGTAAGCTTTTTTGCTGTTGCCTGAATGCCAAAACTTTGTGACCTAGATTTGAGTGAATCTTCAATTTTCGGTTTACAGAATTCGGCTGGAATGAATAACAAGCAGTACCAGCACGCGCACGGACGTGACGAACCGTGTTCGCGAGGCTGTCGTCCGAGCACCGAGTCTCGCTCCACGCGCAGCTCGGGCTTCACGTCGTGCTCAGTAAGCAGCGGGGTCGGAGCACCTCCAACAGCAGTTTTCAATAAGTCTCAGGTACGTTCTCATTCATTCTATTTCGCACGACCGTTTTAATTTTTTTTGTGTGCTGGATTTTATTTTATTTTATTGAAAGTGAGATTTGCGATGAATCATTATTTGGAAGAGTTCATTCACGTCGACCGGGCGTTCTAAGAGCGCGAGTCATTTATTCGGGTACTACGCGAACTTCTTTTTTTTTTTTTGAATTCAAGAAAGAAAAAGAAATTGCGCATCATACATGGGTATAGATTTAAAATAAATTAAGTTTAGGTGTGCATTGTGTTGGATTCTAATGGAAAATTTCGTATCAAGTTGTATATAGAGATTTTTTTAATAGAAGCAATACAGCATTATTTGAATTCTTGTTTATTTCATGTCGAAATTCGACTTTGTGTGTTCGCATTTTTTAAATGTTGTTCTTTTCTATTAACCAAAAATGCATCTTACTTCGGGATCCGTTTTTATCAAAATTCCGAACTGAAAACCTCTAGTGCATTTCTTACTCAAGGGTATGTGGTTTACTAGAGTAAATATGGTATTTACTCTACTAAATACCGCATCTCCATGAAGCTGACAATTGGGTATTTTGTGACATGAATGCATGGTTATTTTTAATGAGCTTCTCTTGCTTTTCGAGAAACGCGTTAATTCGAGAGGAACTTATGCTAAATGATGACTTTTCTTATTCGCTTAAAAAAATACATTCCTTCTTCGGTTTTCGCGAAAAATGTGCAAGTCTTCCCTTTACGTACACCATTAAAAAGAAACTTTTTGAAGAAGATGTTTTCTTAAATATCAACTCGGTTCTCTTTCTTCATCTTCGACTGATCGACACTAGAATATAATTCGCCTTGAGACTCGTGTAGAGCTTTTGGCTACTTTCGTGCGAATCTCGTGAATGCGAGATGGACGCATGCTGAAGCCATATCCAGCACACATTTCTTCTTATTATTTTATGAAAACTGTTTTAAAATTTGCAGCTGGAAAAAGGAAAAATGCGACGATATTCCCGAGTAGAAACTCCTCATTGATTACTTTCATATTTTCCGCATGAAAGGTGGAAAATACATCGACCAGATTCCTAGAAATTTGTAAATGTTGAACATGTTGAGTTCTGAGGAAAGAAAAGCGCATCTAATAGAGAATACACTGCATTTCTTTCTTAGTATGAAATGCAAGAAATCAGGACGTCTCTTACAATTGAGGGTGTCTTGGAGTCGAACTTATAAACGCTGTAAACGTATTTTTCAAATCATTTGAATAATCTCAAATTTCTGTGACTTTTGACTTTTTTTAGTTTCTTGATGATAATTGAGCATTGTCTTCTCTGAACTGAATTCTTTGAACTGAAATTTCGAAATTCAAATCTCAGAAATCATCCAAAAAGTGCAGTGTTCCGTTTTAGTTCGTTCAAAAGAGGTTAATTTGTCACGATAATGCAGCACTGCGTGTTCGGTTATTTTCACAGGAAATAAATTTAAGCCGAGCTACTATCAAAAATTTTAAATGCCATGCAATTTTTTTCGAAGGTTTTATCGCCAAAAATGTGTGCTCATTTTGGTCTATAGGTGTAATAATGATTTCCATTAATTCTATGCAAATTTCAATATTAAACTAATGACAACCTGCGGGAAAGGAAGAGGCTGGTATAAAAATTATAGTGGCCGCTTATTTGCTAAAATCAAAATTTTGGCTTGGTTCCTTGAATACCATATTTGATGCAAAAGGCATTGCATCTTCGATTCTTCGAAAATATTTTTTTCTCGCATTGATGGGTTGAACTTCTTATTTTCGTCGTAAAATCGAAGGCGTCCCCATGTGAGTAAATATTACGTTATGTGTTTGGGCTCATTGCGTTGAATCGAGCTGGTTGCACGTCGTTCGTTTCCCCACGGGGGAAAAAGGAAAAAGAATTTCGAGTGATCAATCTAATGGCATCCATGTCGGAGGGAGTTTCGCGTTTGAAGCGTGCGATTGTTTGCTGTCACACACGCGTGATTTCACTTTTTTTTTTCGTCGTTGTTCTTCTTCATCCTGCTTCGAGTCCCGACTAACGACGCGTTCAAATGGAGTATACGGGCTGGTTAAAACATGAGGAACTTGGGACGACGATGAGGGAAGTGGCGCGGGCGGTCGGATGAAGCCGGTGGGTCGCAAAAGGAAGGATGAGGGATGCTGGTTTAATTTGGTTCAACTCTGATCAAAACCTTCCTGCACGTAGCCCGGGTGTAGTGGGTGAAGAGGGGTTCCGAGGCAGAACAGACCGTTCTCATTCTATAAATTGGTTTTTTTCCCTAGTTTTCTTGATTTTTTTTTTTTTTTTACTTGAACGCGTGGAAATGTTTGAGGTGCACCCCCTTTTATTACACGTGGCGTTTTTAATCGAATTGAGATCTCGCCGAATTCCAAGTTCTACAGTATGCTTACTTTTTTTAAATTGCGAATTTCATCCAGATTCCCGCTAAATTATGTTTCGAGGCAAAATTTAACTTTCAAATTTTATAAAGATGGCTTTCATTCTATTTTTTCTGTTTTGAATTTTGTACGACTTATTGAGTTGTGGCGATGTTTGTGTACCATCCCAATTTGATGATGACATTTGGTTCCGACTTAAATTAAGAACGATGCAATTTTTTAATAATTACACTACGTCATATATTTAAAATTTTCTGAAGGTACACGTAAGTTCAATTCAGATTTTCCTTATACCTCGTATAATGTTTTGGAGTCTATTCTGAGTTGATCTTCCCAACTTTTTGTTTTGCCGTCTGTCTATAGTCTCTTTGAAGTACGTTTCTATTCGCGTCCATATTTTTTCTTGGACTAGTTCCCACCTCTTTGAAAAGACTACCCCTTAGTTTATACAAAGCAAATTTCTCATATTTCCTGTCACGTTTCGTTGTAATGTACACATATCAATGAATGAACATCCGTGGGCTAAAAGGAACCTGCATGTTACATGCATACCACTCGTATTTCCTTCAAAGCACTGACATAAAAAACTGCATTGGCTTTGTTCTGACGTGGCATTGCCACCATATCTGTAATTAGCTGATAAATCTCCTGTATATAAGGATCTTTGGTTTTTAAAATTCCATTCCCACAACTTTAAATATATTGCAGTTGAATTGCAGCCACCAACAGTCCTAGAGGATTGAAGAATTTATTTTCAATCTGTCGAAAATATAATCCATAATTTATTTTTTCAGAATGAAAACCTTCAATCCTCGTGGGAAGAACACAAACTGAACTGACAAATAGAATAATAAGGAGGAATAGATTTTCTTTGTAAACCTGGCTGCTTCACTTGACTGACATTTTTCTAATCAGGGCCATTGAATTCATTTAAGCTGCAGACTCGACAATTTTTGGAAGTCCAACGTTGTGATTAAATGGCGAAAACCATTGAGTCAAGTGGCCGTCTTTATGAAGCCCTTCAATCCTCGCGAGAAGAACTAGGCCCACAAGAAATAATAATAATTAAGAATAAGGCCGAGTCATCCCGCTAAATTTTCAGCAGTGAAATTCCAAATCGACTGCCATCATCATTTCAGACGAGAACCCCATTTCAGACGAGAATTTTTGCCTGCTGAAATAAATTATTTCAATTTTTCCTTTCTGAGAAATGTTTCTTCGAGCCACCCTTTTAATTTGTTGAAGACATTCTGCCATTTGTGCTCCATGGTTCTTAATTTTTGCAAAAGGCAGAAAACTTTTTAAATGCCCACCATGAAGTCTTTTGACCAAAACTTCGTTGAGTCAGCCAAACTTTTCCAGTCTGCAGAAAATTTCTGGGAAATCGTTGGTCCAAAAAAATTTTCAAGGAAATTTGCTGGTCCGGAGGCCCCGAAAGGTTACTCTAGAGACCAGTGTAAAAGTTCATTTCGCCCCCGGGTTCGTTCCTCGGACTCCCTCCACCGTCGGGCCTCTTCGTTTAAAGCACACACGGACCCCGAAGTTTATACTCGTGTCTAAGGGGAGAAGGCAACGCAAGGCAGTCGACGGGGATTCCGCAATTCCCCGACAGAGACTTGTCTACCGGCTTTGTTGAAGAGGCCCTCGACAGAGGATCCTTGTGCTCGCCGACAAAAGCGGGCAAGCATGCGAACCCCTTGGCCCGGGGAACTTCCCCACTTGCCCGGCAGCTGATTCCCTGCTCCTCTCGCCAAACTCGACGCCAGTTAATGACGTGGGCGGGATCCGCTGCTTCGAACAGTCGCCGTTTTCCTCGCAATTCCACGATGAGGGGTCGTCTCCCAGATAAAATTCGCTACTGTCAATTGCTCTCCGTTTCGCTTTGTCAAACAAATTGCTCTGAAACCATGCTGGTATACGATTCGGGCTGATTTGAGGCACGGAAGCCGCGAATAAACCTTCCCCTGGTTGCTCTAGACCACTGTTTCTCTGGACCCATGGTCCGTGGACCGGCGCCAGTCCGCAGAAGTTTTTTGCCGGTCCAGAGGGGAAATTTCTGCAGCATAATAAATTTATCAAAAAAATAGTAATGGAGTCTATTATATTTATTTGAAATTTTGGAAAGACAATGGCAGTTGAAATTGTCCAGTGAAAAATAAAAGTTGGATTGTCTCCTAATGACCCTTCAGACACATTTTTGCCTGCTGAAATACATGTTTTAATTTTTTCATTCTGAGAAATCTTTCTTCAAGCCACCCTTCTAATTTGCTGAAGACATTCTGCCAATGGTGCTTCATGGTTCTCAATTTTTGCAAAAAGCAGAAACTTTTTAAATGCCCACCATGAAGTCTTTTGAGCAACATTTTGTTGAGCCTGCAAAAATTTGCCAGTCTGCAGAACATTTCTGGGAGATCGTTTCTCCACAAAAAATTTGAATGAAATTTGCTGGTCTGGAGGCCCAGAAAGGTTGCTCTAGACCAGTGTTCCGTGAAGTTTTTGGGCCCGCAGACTGGCATATTCTATGACATTTTTTGAGGACCATGAAATTTCCACAAGAAATTCTGCAGAATGGCAAAGTTTCAGAAAAATGTTATAGACTCAAAAAAAGCTTATTTGAAAGGCTTGATGGCAGGTATTTAAAATTTTACGGCTTTTATTTTGAAAACATTGAGTTAAGAAGCAATGAAGAAGCTATAGTGGAATGCGAAGACGCCATCAAATATAAATAGACTTTTAAAATCAATGAGAATATTGTTGGACAAGATTCCACAAAGAGCGAAATTACGAAATATAAGTGAAATAAAATAATTAGAGCTCACAAGCCGCCGGGAAACTCGGCAGGGGATACTTTGGTAAGTATCCCAAAAGAGTAGAGAAAATTGTATTTCAGTAATTTGATCAGAAGTAATGAAATTCGTGCAAAAGCAATTGATAACTCAGCAAAAATCACTCTGACGAAGTCTTTGTGCACAACCAGACGCTTTGAAAGCAGGGAACATAATAATAACTTCATTTTCGCGGAAAAGGTGTGATTTTGAGTTGCGCAATTCTCGGCAGCTGGGGCTTCCAAGGAATTCCCCGCTGCAACATTCCAATCATTCGAGTTTTTTAATTCTTTTGAGACGAAAGTATTATTTATATTTGCATTACGTGCCCTCTGTGTCCCAAAAATATTTCGTTGTTCAGAAGTGATCATGAACTTGACTCGGAAATCCGATGAAGCATTAAATGTACGACTCCATTAAATTTCAATATCCACTTCAAATAATACAAAAACGAATACCAAAAAGAACCTGATCACACTATCGATCAGAAAGAAATTGATGAAATAATAATAATTATAAATCGAAAATAATTTCGAAATCGATACGCCTTGATCCATTCGAGTGCATTGGGCAGTACAGTACAATTATTGCGACCTGTCAAATTGCTCGGAATGGTTGCCAGTCGACGACGGATTGTGCCATGGGGTCAATTCGTGCGACACCCTCGCCAATTTCTCGCCCTTTAAAGTGAGGACCAAGGTGGCGTCGGGTTTCGTCATCACGAAATGATCGCGACCTGGTTCAAAGTGCGAGGCAGCAAACTCGTCCGGCTCGTTGAATTAGATCGCCCCCGCTCTTGCTATTGTTCTTCGGAGCCCTTCTCGAGCCCGGGGTTTTATTTGAGGCGAGTGAATCCCTGCCGGGCATTAGGCTCATTTACCCCCGCGGGTTGCGTCCCGCGGCAGCAGAAGGTATAGTGCCACCCGTGCTGCCTGGGGGTGGGTCAGGGCCGGGTGAAAGAGAAGGGTTCAAAGCGCCACACGTGTGGGGTTGAAGTCGTTGCCGCTGAGCGAGTACCAGATTGCCGTAACGCGATTAAAGCCCTGCCCCGAGGGGTGCTTCAGAGTTGCGTAGGAGGTAGGAGTGATGACGCTTGAGAGAGGCCCGTTAGTGTTAATCTGTCTTGGGAATTTGACGACTTCGTTGCCAGTTAACGTACTGTACCTGGACATCCCATGATACTTAATTCCTTTTTTTTCCCCAAATTGTGAGGAAATATAATTGCTCACAAAAGGCCAAGAGTTTTGCTTGTAATGGTCAGCAGAAACACTAGCTGTCAGATTTTGATAAGGTTTCAGAAGAGTTTTAATTACTTATCAGATAGGTGCTTAAAAAGAGAATATCGATTGCTTTTAGATCTTAACTTTAAGGAGAGCTTAAGTGAATTTACACAATATGCTTATGAAATAATCACGACCAGATTGAACAGCCGGGCTGCGGCCAGGACTTGAGTCCTGGTATGAAATGTTGTATTAATCAATTGTCACAAAAAAGTTGGAGCCTTTTAAGAATCTTTCACAATTTTGCAAGAGTCCAAACAACAGCGATTTCAGAATTGCTTTCAGGCAATGCAAAGTGGTTCTCCCCGAGATTCTTTTGGTACAAGAGAAGACTGCAGAGTGTGTCTTTTACTAGACTTTCATCTACAAAGATGATTCTCTGGATTAAGTTGGAGGCTGGATTTGACCAGTAGAAATGAAAGGCTAAATTCTTGTCCTTGGGGGAGCCAGCTTGGTTCTCAGGCTTCCAGAGGAAGCATGGATTTGTCTCAATCAATTATTGCTAATTTTCTGCCAGGCGCCTTTCAGACAAACAATTTCTCTGTTAGGTCTCAAATTTTTCCTGACACAAATCACGAAGGAATCAATAATCAAAGCTGAATTTGCACGAGGGTTTTATTTGGCTGGTGTTGCATTTTTTGAAAAGGAGCAACAAAGAATGCAAAAAAAGAGGAGGTTAGAAATGAATTTAGGCAACATTTAGCCTGGGTCGGTCTCGGGACTTTCTCGAAAGAAAGTTCCTCAAGTAAGAAATTTCTGCAACTCTGAAAGTCGAGTTTCTCCGTTTTCCCAGTAAAGGCACTTTCTTCAAGTTCCTAAATTTTCATTTTTCATTTGCCTCAACATGCGACTCAAATCAATATACAGTATTAAACTTGCACGCAAACCAAAACAATATTTATTTTTTCAATATTTTCTGAGAGGGAAAAAAATTGAAGAGCATACCTCTGAGTGGTTCCACAGTTGCTGGGCAAGTCATGCAAGTGCTTTGTTATTCTTCACTTTTAAGGTTTTTCATTGGTGGGTGGAATTAATTAAAATGCTGTAATGAGATGAATTGTCTACCGGAAATCTGTTTTGTAGGAACTGGACTCGCAAAGTCGTGTTTCTAGGTTTTTCCAGAAGGGTTGGAGTTCTTTTCTATTGAAATACAGTATGCAGTATCATTTTCTCACTGAGCGAGTCCCCAACAGCTGGGTTTGGTTCGATCTTAATTCGATTATATCTCCATCTGCGAAAGCCCGTGGTTCTTCAATAAACAGCAGTTGATGGACTTTCCTTATTTTATTCGCTCAACCTTTTTTGGTATCATTTTCACGTCGAAGCATTTCTCTTCTACAGAAATGGGCAGAAGGCAGATAGGCTTCCATTTTTTCCTATTCAACCGGCGGTACTGCTGATGGCACTTGCGCGAGATGTTCATAGGGCAAGAGTTGAATAACGAATGTGTGTTATTTATGTAGAAACACGAAAAAGTAAGGATTGTAAAGCATGAAACTGTAAAGCGGAAAAATATAAAATACTGTATGTTCAACGCTAAATATATACCGTCTCAGTTAAGGAAAAAATATTAACAAGCAACTGCGTATAAAGTTCTGGCTTTTAGTTTCTGAAGTTTAATGCGTGATGGGAGAAACTGAGGAAGTTCTTGTGATCTGTCGGACATGTTTTTGATCTCAGTTGAAGCCAGTGGTGTAAAAACAGTTCTGTACATTTACTTAGTACAGAAACAATGCCGTACGTGTCCTGAGAACATTTAAGTGCCGCAAAATGCGGCATGGAAAAAGTTGACGAAAGCGGGGCTTGAAAGTTCGTCGCCTTACTTGAAACCACATATTACAAGTTTTACTTATTACAGTACCATCAAGCTGCTGCATTGTATTTTTGACAGTATTCTATTTTTAGTTTTCATTAGCTGATTATTTCTCATGTCCTGGATGAAAAATTGGGAAGAAAAACGGAAACAAGAATTCAAACTTTTCAGTTTAGCTCATTTTAATTTTGTTTTCTTTGATGCAACTTGAAAATTATTTACAGGGTGTCATGCTCAGTGATGTTTTACAAGTTTACTCTTTTTTCATTGAAAAATGTTGCAAATTGAAACAGCTAAAATTCAAAAAGTAAAATCATTTTTGTTATTTTTGTATGATTTAAATTTTTTTTTTTTTTTGGTTGTAATTCTGTCAAATTTCCAGATTTTTGCATGTTTAAAATAGAAATTTTGAAAAATCTTTGCACATGCAACGCTGTAAAAAAAAATTGGAGAATAGGTTCCAACTTGAACTTCTTACAAATTTTCAAAGTCAACAAAATGGGCCGTGGTCCATTAGCCGGGTTACAATCTGTAACCCGGACGGATTTTCAAAAACGGAGCTGGTCTGTAAGCCAAAAATCCGTGAGCTGAATGGTCCATAAACCGGGGGTTGACTGTAATTGATCGGATTCCGCTGTTGGCATAATTGTATATCGTCAAACTCGTGACTCCCTACAGTTTCCTAATTGTGAATATTTCGAGTCTCGTGTATTTCAACTCGCAAAATGTTCTGACTCTGACTTGGATTGTTACCTTATGAATCAAGCTGTATATACGTTACACAAAAGCCAATAAATAAATAAATAAATGAATTGAAAGAAATACAGTTGGGCTGGGAATGAATGGTGATGGCGATTGCTTTACTTTTGCGGTCTGTATCTATTTTTCCTTCGTTCCGACACCAGAGGAGGCAGGTAGGTGTCATTATTCATGGGCTGTGTCTTTGGATATCCTGAGTCGACTAGATCAACTAATGAAAATGAATGTGTTCTTTGTTGTTTGTGCTGCTGCCT